CGCCACAATCATGCACCAGTTTTCTTTTCTATCTTCTTTTTCTTTCCGCCTCTTGTCACTTTCGATAGCAACTTGACGCTTTCCACCGAGGGGCTCGCACTGTCCTAATGTCCGAGATGTCGCCTTCGATTTCGGCACGGCCATTAGATTTTTTTTATTATTATTGTTATGGAAAGGTTGGAATAGCACTTAACAGCTTACTAAGAGCACTTGCGTGGTTGACTACAGCCGCTTCCATTTAGACAGCTTGTTATCTGAGCTTTTATCGGCACTCCTGCCTTGAGGAGCAAGTCCAAAAGCGTCAGAGGCGTAGATCTGTGTGTGCGGTAGAAAGTGGAATGGGGGGGGGGGGGGGCAGAAGACACATTTGGCATAATCGTCTCCGACCACAACACGCGGGAATGTAAAACCAGAAAACGAAGAAAACGTTCTTTATATAGGAACAACTTTACGCAGAAATGAACCGACCGCAGCTATAGGGCGAGGATGCACTCTGCATTGCTGTTTTAACGCAGTACCCTCTTTTTACCGAGAGAGTGATAGAAAATAAGAACAAAAAAGAGGCAAGGAGTTAAAAGCAGCGCTGAGCCAGGTAGGCTAAGCTGCACTGCGAAAGGGGACCGGGAAGGAAAGTTATAGCGGAGGACAAAAAAGTCACCGATGCAAACGATGCGTAAGAGTTTCACGTTTGACATTTTTTTTTTTAACCAAGACTTTGCACTGTACGCGAATTCTAGAGAAATTGACCCAGAGCTGTGCACAGTAAACCCTGCTCTGTATTGTGTGGCTGTTTGGAGCGACGCCATTGCATAGGCGAGAAATTTCGCTTCGTTTGTGACACGTACAACGCGTTGTGAAGAGCGGAATCATGCAAAGTTTTTTATTATTATTATACTAGGGGTACATTTGCTTTTTTTATAGTTAGCATAAGAGGTAAAAGTGAACGAAAAAATTGAAGCCTGAGCACTGTCAACGGTGGACGCCCAAACACCGTCACGTCTTCGGCATCAGCTCTCTCAATATTCGATTTCCTCGTTTGTAACAAATGTTGACTATTTCTCTTCGAAGGCAAGAAAGATGATCGCCTTATACATCCACAATATGATTACCTTTAATTGTGTTTAAACGCTAACAGCACTAGGCGGCAACGGCACCTGATAACAACAGTGATTACTAGTGTCTCGGCCTTCAATATGGGTGATAACACTGAAAAAAGTACGGATCTGACGCCGCCCCTTGCACGCGATATTGTTTTCGTTTCACCGTGGTTATGCTTTGCCACAGTACGCCGAAGCGCACGGTGAAGGTAACCTTACAAAAAAAAGAGGAGGAGCACAAAAAACTGTGAAAGTGGAAAGAAAGAAAGAAAGAAAGAAAGAAAGAAAGAAAGAAAGAAAGAAAGAAAGAAAGAAAGAAAGAAAGAAAGAAAGAAAGAAAGAAAGAAAGAAAGAAAGAAAGAAAGAAAGAAAGAAAGAAAGAAAGAAAGAAAGCTAATTAACATTCAAAACGATTCCTTCTTTCTTTCTATTTTTCACCGTTCAGAAAGTGTCAGGCTGCATAAAGCATGCTGATCGCGAGAGCAGCTTAGCAATCGTGACGGCACCGCAAATACGAGCACCGCGTATTAAAGAAAACTGCGCACATTAAACCTTTCGCTTTCTCGGAAATTTCGCAAGTACGACGACTCATACACACTTAGTCTGCTCAATCTTTCCCCTTGCATAAGCGCACAGATAAGCAGAAGGGCCCTTGCCCTTTTTTTTTAACGAGTCACAAAATGAGTCCTCGTCACTGGGACATTGATTAATGGGCCTTAACAGCGTGCACATCATCTCTGCGTTCCAAATTACTGGGTCGCACTGAAGAATTACGACACGCAGTGCGCGCAACGAGAAGACTGTGTGACGTTCCAGTGTAAAGCGACACTGTTGAATGCCGAGACGGGTAACGAGGAGATAAGATCCGGGGGTTTTTTTTCCGTTTCCTCCTAGCTTGGCGGCCATTTTTGAGTCATACGCGGGAGCCCCGTGTGCCGGGGTGGGATCTCTGATTCACTGAAGAGAAGTGGACAGCGTCAAGAAACATAATAGCAAGCCTGCAGCTAAAATAAGTGCTGTAAGACGCTATACCAGCAGGCTTTATCACTGGGAAATGCCCCGGCCAGGCTACGTAGCGAGACTGGACCGCAATTACGCGTCACTGAACAGACTGGCGCCATCGAGCATAAATCAATTTTCTTAGAATAATCAATGAAAAGGAAAGCTCACAGGATTCCTTATGCATTCGCCTAAAACGACTTGATCACGGTGATGATGATGGCTTATATGTACGGCTTGAAAGGGAAAGCCAACTTTATGTTCTTCTCAGTCAGTGTATTGATCCCCCTCCTTCTCTCAGAAAGAGTTCTACATTCAACAGAACTTACCATAACCTCCAAGATTGGAGGTAGTGCGTCATCATATGACGTCACGGCGACGTCTGGTAGTGACGAAGGCAGTCGGTATTTCAAGTTAGGTGAGCAAGAACTGAAAGGCAGGCCAGTCAGAACGTATCCATAATTGGGCCGCTAGCACGAAAAAGTAAACACACAATTATGCGCCTCCCAATTGTGGATTTGATGAGGAATTTGGGGCTTTCGCCTTAACATTAGCGTGCGTAGGACAGTACGAAGCTTACAGATTCACCTAACTTGGAAGCAATGGCATTCAGCTCTCCGTGTCGAAAGCTTCGCAGTTATGGCTTGGAAGAAAGACACCAGCAGGGAGGTAGCGGGTTCGCTACCCACCGGCAATAAGTTATGGCTTCGTCCACATTACTTGCTTTGCCTTTATATTGCAATTACTGCAATACACATAAAAGAACACAATTAAGAGCCCCTATACCTTCCTCGGCCTAATGATCTGCTGGTTGTCACTAAAGTTGTACCAGAGTGAATTGAGTGACTTGAACGTTAACTGCCCCGCCGCGGTGGTCTAGTGACTGAGGTACTCGGCTGCTGACCCGCAGGTCGCGGGTTCAAATCCCGGCTGCTGCGGCTGCATTTCCGATGGAGGCGGAAATGTCGAGGCCGGTGTGCTCAGATTTGGGTGCACGTTAAAGAGCCCCAGGTAGCCGAAATTTCCGGAGCCCTCCACTACGGCGTCTCTCATAATCATATGGTGGTTTTGGGACGTTAAACCCCACAAATCAATCAATCATTGAACGTTAACTAGCGCAAATTGAAGTTAACTACGTGAATTAAGAGGTAATTAGACGCGAATCAAAAATTCATCAGGTGGCTCGAGTGTGAACGAAGAATGCATCGGTTGCCTGAAGTGCGGACCATGGCACATTAAAGTTAATCGAGTAGAGAGCGGTTGAAGTTAAGATCCCCTCTCAGAGCATAAGCTTTCTTTCGTCCGTGGCCTCCTTAACCAAAGCCAAAGGGAGCCGGCAACTTTTCCGCTTATTGTCAAGATCGTCGCGAAAACCCCCGCTGTGCAGATGACACAGCCGGCTCCGCCTTCACGGCAGACAGGCGCCATCGAACGGTGGACACAGACGGCCTTGTTGTAGGACGAAAAAAAAAACTAAAAGCCGGACCCTCCAAAGGCGAGGACACCGGATGGGACGGCGACGTCACGCCTAGCTTCCTTTCTTTTCTTTGTTATTTCGCGGTCCGCAAAATCGGCGCGAAAAGATCCCTATTTCCGAACGAAAAAAATGCCAGGCCTGTACGGAGCACCCAGCGAGGTCGCAGCTAGACCTCAAAGAGCTGCCTTTATAGAGCATCCATTGTTAGCTCTCTCTCTGGGTCAACACTACTTTCAACCCACTACGCCTCAAATTGTGAAAAAAAGGGTTAACAACGCCGAATACTTGCCGATAAAGGTCAAGTGCAAAACAGTAGGTTTCGCGAAGGCACGCATAAGCCCGCGTCTATATAATACGGAAGCAGAGCATCAGATTTTTTTTCATTTCCTATTAGACGGGCGAGCTAAACAGCTATTTACCAGTATGATGATGATAGCAACATAAATTTCCTTGGTACAAGGAACAAATATATGACCAAACACTTCAAAAACTTTTGGTTGGAGTTGAAATCATCTCCCAAACCATGTCCCAGTCATCTCCCACAGCCAACCAGGCATAATACGCGCTTCTGCTCCACGTAATATTACCGCCTTCACCACCTACCAATACGAATGAAGAAAGTACTCGTTCAACCTTGTTTTTTTTTTTACTGTGGTTGAACATATTTTTGAACCCAAACAAAGGGGAACTTCTCATCTTGTTTATAATACCTGCTGTCACACTGACCTGCGAAACTAAGCGACTTCTCCGGTGTCACTTGCTTCTCACTACACACTGCACAGTACCTGCCCACTACAGAAGACCGGCTAAGAGCCCACTAGTTAATGTAGAAGCATTCATTTTGCTTTACTAAATAAGGACAAGAGAATGGTCAGATTCATTCCACATGGTTCTTTACTTTTGTGCGCGTCGCCCCCCCCCCCCTTTAGACCACGGGTCTTGTCAATCTGCAAATAAACACTTCAATGTCTCATTCATTTATTCGCTAGCTTATTAATCCTAATAGAGCAGCAGCCCCGGTTTACCGGACAAGAAGAAGGAAGACGAAAAGGCGAGCGCGAGGAGTGAGACCTAAGCCAGCTATACCCCGTGGACCGGCCCTCCGTCATGAAAAACGCCAAGGCAGTGCGCGTCGTCAGGGCTGTGCAGCAGGTGGACGACGGCCGCAGTCCAGCAACTCTGGCTGGGGCTGCGGAAAGCCTTCAACGAGATACAAGAGCGGCAGAGTACTAGCCAACGCTTCGACGATCTGTACAGAGCCGCATTCACCATGGTGGCACAAAACGAAGGGGAACGCCTCTACCGCGGACTTCGCGAAGCCGTGGCGGAGCATCTCGTCAACAAAGTACGCACCCTCGTATTGAAGGCAGACGACGGACGACTTCTTACAGACGCTTAGCCACGCCTGGGAAGCCCACCAGACGAGCATGAGAATGATCGGCGATATCGTAAAATACCTGGACATAGCATACGTGCCCAGGAGCGGCTTCGACAGCGTCGGCAAGGCGGGCGTCCTGCTTTTCCGCGATGAGGTGGCGCGCTACGCCGACGTGCGGGACCGCCTCCGGGATACCATGCTCGGCATGGTGCAGGCGGAACGCGAAGGCCAGTTGGTGGACAGGGCTTCGCTGAAGAAGGCGTGCGAAATGCTCGTAGCCTTGGGGCTCGGTTCCACCTCGGTCTACGAAGAAGATTTCCAAGTGTTCTTTCTAGCCGAGACGGCCCAGTTCTACGCCGCACGGGCACTAGTCTACATCGACACCAAGGACGCTTCCGAGTACGTTGCCCAAGTTCGAGCAACACGTTCACGAAGAGTCGGAGAGGGCGAAACACTGCCTGCACGACTCCACCGTGATTCCTGTCGTGCAGGTGGTGCAGAACGAGCTCGTCGGAAAGCACGCTGAAGGCCATCGTGAACATGGAGGACTCTGGCGTCGAGCGCATGCTCGCGAACCAGATGAACGACGACCTCGCTCGGATGTTTCGGTTCTTGAAGTGCGTGCAAGGCGGCGTCAAAACTTTGCTCGACTGCGTCAGCAAGTACCTACGGAATCTGGGAAGATCTACCGTGAACGAGCACCTGTACTCGGGGAGCCTCATACCTTCATTAATGGACCTTAAAAACCGCTTCGACTACCTCGTTCAGTACTGCTTCGAGGACGATGAAGCGGCCAAGCAGGTAGTCGCCACTGACTTTGAGTACATACTCAGTCTGACTAACAAATCGGCCGAGCATCTGGCTGCATTCGTAGACGACGTGATGCGAAAAGAAATCAGGAACAAGACAAAGCAGGAGATCGGCCAGCTCCTGGACCAAGTTATGGCGTTATTTCGACCCTTGCAGGACAAAGACCTCTTCGAGCGGCACTACAAGCAGCGTCTGGCCAAGCGGCTCCTGCTCGACAAGAGCGCCTCGAACGAAACAGAGAAGGCAATGGTCGCCAAGCTCAGGAAAGAATGCGGCTGTCTGTTCACCTCCAAGATGGAAGCCATGCTTAAGGACATGCACACCTCCAGTGACGAGATGAAGGAGTTCAAAGAGGCCATTTCCTCTTGCGGAATAGACATGCGCGGAATCGACGTAAACGTTCGCGTACTCACGACTGGCTTCTGGCCCCTGGCGGCCGTCACGCAACTGAGCAGTATTCCCACCACCCCGTGGAGCGTTTTCCAAACCTTCCGAAGGTTCTATCTGGCGAAGCATGGCGGCAGACAGCTCAACCTGCAACCGCACCTTGGCAGGGCCGATATGAGCGCCGTGTTCTACGGGCCGACGAGCGAGCCCTCAACGTCCCAGGCGGCGAGCACATCGTCCGAGGAGCTTCGTCCGCGAACCTACATCATCCAGGTGTCGACGTACCAGATGTGCGTGCTGATGCTGTTCAACCACTACGAGCGAATAGTGTACGAAGACATCGTCTTGGAGACAAACATGCCCGAAACGAGCCTGGTTCGAGCGCTCCGTTCGCTGTGCACGAACACAGCCTCCGAGCCGGTGCTGACCAAGACGCCCGCCTCGAGCGAGATCGGGAACGGCGACGTTTTCGCCGTCAACGAATCCTTCACGTCTGGTTCACAGAAAGTCAAACTCGGGTCGACGCCGGGTAGTAGGACATCCGCGACGATGAACAGTCGAGCGGTGGTCAACATTGACGAAGACCGGAGGTACGCGCTGGAAGCGGCCATAGTGAGGGTGATGAAGGCGCGCCTGAAAATGACGTACTGCGACCTCTTCGCCGAGGTGACGAGTTTGCTGCAAGGCACGTACACGCCCAGTGCCGCTGCGTTCAAGACCAGAGTTGACGCCCTCGTAGAGAGGGTTTATATGGAGCGGGACCCCGACAACGAGAACGTCTATAACTACGTTCCGTAAAGAGCGGCAGTATTATTGAAGTGAGATCTTTTGTGCAACCAGCAGAGTGGCGAACACGATGCGCCTTTTATTACAGCACAATGTGCGACTCCAGCCCTTCTACCACGTAGTGGCCCCTAAATTCCTCGCCTCCAGAAAAATAAACGAATTCCACGAGCGATTTCTCTGCGTGCTGTATAGGAATCATGTCTTGGCAATACTCGATATTTACGCACTGTGTTATTCATCGTATACTGCCGTGTTTTGTATATCGCTAGAAGCACCACCTAACGAATCGTGAAACGGAGTTGCTCGGTTCCGTAGAAAAATATACCTGGAAGTTGTTTTATCCCAAAAAAAAATGCCAATCCCTACGAGGGAATTGAGCACGTGCTAGTTTATATGGGAAGTACAGGAAAAGCGAGTAAAGTATCTGAAAAAAAAACACCAGGTCTGCGCGGAACGTGCAGCAAAGTCGCAGCGAAAGCTGAAAGAGCGGCCTTTCAGAGCCTTTTCTAAACAATACTTGGGTAACTGCTACAAGCACGCTTGCCGGGTGACCACTACGCCATGAATAATCCTAATTTTTGTGCATAGTAGGCTGGCATTGACTATGCTATCTTTGGTCGCTACACACTATTCGCTACACACTTGGGAGAAATTTCGTGCCATTCTTTTATGCAGTGGCCGGCTCACCACGATAAAGAATTGTGCCTGAAGTGGGTATGCGCAACAAGCTGATCAAGAACAAGCTTTTGTGACGGGTTGAGGCAATGGACGACTCACCCGTCACGCAACTCGGGTATCGACCAGGTATCGATAGGGCTGCTCTCTAACCTAAGCGATGACATGACTCAGTTGCTAGGAGATAAAATGAACCAGTACTGGGACGCCGGAACGCTACCCCCAGAGTGGAAATCGGTCGAGCTCACTTTCATCCCGAAAGCCGGCAAAGAGCTGAATATTGATAACCTCCGTCCCATATCCCTCACGTCATGCGCTGGTAAGGTGATGGAGAAGGCCATACAAATAAAGCTAATTGAATATCTAGAAGAACGGAACCTCCTGCCTGACACTATGTGCGGCTTTCATCCCCATTTGTCAGTGCAGGACTTCCTCCTCCAACTATAGAACACGAGATTGTCAACCTACCCAGCGGTACCACTCAATCGGAAAGGGCCATTCTCGCAATTGATTGCAAGGGTGCCTTTGCGAATGTTTGGCACTTCACTATCTTGGAAAACTTACAGGAACTCAGGTGCGGTCTAAAATTATATGCACACGTGCGGGACTTCCTCACGGACAGACAAGTAACTACGGCGCCGCACGCGACCAGTGCTCTGATCTCATCGCAACTTTCGCTGCAAAGAGCAAAACTCCAGGTCTGCGCGTAACACATACCACAGTAACAACAACAGCCCGTAACAACGAAACTCGCGCAATGGGTGCACATCCAGTTCGAAAACATTTCACACGCGCATAAGTGCTCGTCGTTTGACGCATGCTGCCCCGTTTACAGAAGATGCAGCCACATGCGAAACCTTCTCTGACACAAGGCACTTTCAAACTTTATCGATTGCATTGTAGCAATCAACAATTTAAACTTATCGAGTAACATCAGGCAATAAAAACATGCACTGAATGGTTTAAGTACGCGATATGGACAACGTATTGTTTTTGCGTTCAACTCTCAAGGCGATCGAAGCGTAAGGATGCCCCCATTTTTTTAAGCGTTTTATGTTCGTCGCCAGAATATCTGCGCACGTTGCCGTCAATTCAGCTGCCGCGAGCTTCGCGAAAGTCGGAGAGTGTTGCGCCCTGGAGACCAACCGCCCTGTGTTGACGTCGACACACGTCAACGCAAAGGGGCCGCCGCAACAAGCGTGCCCGTAGCCGACGCCAAACTGTGGCAAGGCCGTAAAGGTAACAACATTAGTCAAGGTTCACGTATGTGCCGGTCGGAACGCGACGCCGGCGACACCCGTGAGAATAAACCCGCCGAGGCGTGTCGATGTGCGGACGCGTTTACACCGTACAGCGGCATTCTATCGAAGCGCCGCCACGTGGTTTGATGCGTAACGCGACACAACGACGCATCCGCGTAGCGTGACGCGTATACCGTGAAAACGTGCGCGCAACATACGGCCGGTCGTGACGTCATATTAAAGCGAACGGCCACAAACTGAACTTACTTCGAACGTCACGTGGTTTTGACGGTGTGAAAGGCTACGTAAAGACTGTGAAACACGGAGCTCTTTTATTTGGGCGAACTTGCGCCCGAAATATAAAACCTCGAACTTCAAGCAATACACAGTGAGCAGTGATAGCGGCGAGAAGAGTCGTCGGCCGTCGAGTAATCTGCTCATCGGTGGAACGCGTCATTTTACATACACCAGTGATCAAATACTACAACTATTACTACTACTACTACTACTACTACTACTACTACTACTAATAATAATAATAATAATAATAATAATAATAATAATAATAATAATAATAATGATAATAATAATAATAATAATACGCCTCAAAACCATGATTATCGGAGGTGCCGTAGTGAAGGGCTGCAGAAATTTCGACCACCTCGTGCTCTTTAACGTACGTGCACTAACATCGCACAGTACGAGGGCCTCTACCATTATGCCTCCATCGGTAGTTACAGCGCGAGAACAGAATGACGACAAAGAGACAACAAGGACACGAGCAGAACGACGACAAAGAGACAAGAAGGACACGAGCGCTCGTGTCCATCTGGTCTCTGTGTCGTCATTCTGTTCCCGCGCTATAACTATCGTCATGTCCATACCAACAAGCCCAAACTGCCACACCTCCCTCGAAATGCGACCGCCGCCGGGATCCAACCGGCGACCTCCAGCCATCGAACCACCCAGCGTCATGGCCGGCGCTCGCATAAGCGGGATCTCCAATAAACTTGACCATTCGGGTCCGGCGCGTAATCACAACCGAACTAACTCGGACACTAGTCGCGAAGCTTCCGAAACTTGACGGCGCGGTCCGTGTCGACCGTCGATAACACTCGTTGCGGGTGAAAGCCGAATACGTCAAAACAGGGTAATAAACGGGCGGGCGATACATATCCCTGCGTATCTGTGGGGAGCACGTCTTTCCGGATACGAAGGACCGCAGCTGCTCGAAATGAACCCTCGGCCACTGTGCGATTCATGCACCCACGCTCCGGAGGCTTTACTATTCAGTCCAACTTGCCCACGCTTCACTACGCTAGACTAACACAGCGGAGGCCGCGCTAGAGGCTGCACGTTCCGACTGCTAGTCATCGGAGAACGCACACTGCAGGCGGTACTTCCGGTATTCCTGTTTGTTTTTCAAACCCCTGTAACACCTCCTCTCTGTCAGCCTTTTTTCTGTTTAGTTCTTTTTCTTTGTCACCCACCGGCTATCTCCTTAAACCACAAAGCTACGGCGTTTGTACACGCTCGTCCTCCTTTCCACCACCGCCTCGCATTCGAAATCAAATCGACGTCGGTGGCCGAACGAGCTGGGAACGGCGCAGAAAGAAGCGACCGCGACCGAAGCATCGAAAGTGGACGTTTTGTCACGCCTGCCCAGCCGGGCGCCAGTCTCGCACCGACGACGACGCCGACCCATTTGGCTACACCGCCGCGTGGGCCGTTTACTTTCTCCTTTTGGAAGCGCACGCGACAGATTTGTTTCTACACTACCGAAGGCGAAGGAGGAAACGCTCAAAGGGAGCGGTAGTGCCACGACTTGCACATCTTCATTCGCTTTCTGTTTCAACCCACGGTGATGATGATACTGCAGTTACAGTGCTCGGCTGCTGACCACGAGGCCCCAGAATCGCATTCCGGCCGCGCCGTGCATTTCAGTGGGTACAAAATGCTAGAAGGCAGCGTGCTTTTAATTATGCGCGCGTTAGATAACCTATAGGCTGACCGAAATTTCCGCAGACCTTCGTTGCCGAGTGTCTCGCAATGACATCCTGGTTTACAGATGTAAACCCCACCCCCAAAATATTATTAGGGGCTTTTAGCTTTTAGAAGCTGAGAAATAGCCACCTTAGCTTTGAAACTATTTTTCAATAAACACTCACGTAACCTATGAGAGTTCCTCATACGATGAGGCCTAGTAAAGCGTCGGGAGCAGCCAGGATCGGCGCTGCAGGCGGCCGGCGGTCGATGTTTCCAGTTACCTTGTAGACGATTACTTGCGGTCATAATCTTCGTCGGCTGACTCTAACTGGCGCGCGCAGGAGCCTTGGAAAAGGAGCGACTCGACTCGTTGGTGACAGTTTCAAGACTGGTTTATTGAAGATGACTAGAAAGTCGGAAAGGAAAGAGAGAGGTAGAATAGAAAGAAGGAAATATCGGAGCCGGTCACACGAAGGGCACCGTGGGAATGATGCGGGTGAGACCCCCTTCGCTCCCGTCGGCTTTGTCTTGGTAGCTCTCCTCTCGACCCATGAAATTGACTAAGGTTGCACGGCGGGCTTGTTGGTTATTCATGGTGTCCGAGGTATAGCGCATCCAGGACGGGACAGAGAAGAAGACACAGAACACATACACGGCGCTATTCTCTGTCCCATCATGGATGCGCTATACCTCGGACACCATGAAATTGGGCGGCAACGATGAACGTCTTCGACGGCGTCCGTACGGCGGGAAAGCAAGACGAACCCTTCGGCCTTCTTAACACACCTTGTATATCGTTCGTGTCAATACACTTGTGGACAGGCAAAACCGCTGCAGCAGCTCGGCAACGTTACAGAGCAAGCGTTGTCGGCAAACTCACCCGCATGTCGACTCTCTCAGACTCAAATCGAGCCGCGAGTGTGAGTGTTGACCACGAGCCCGAAAGAGTCCATACTCGAAACCTTGAGTCAGCCTGAGCGCGATTAAACCATGTTGCAGAACATGGTTTAACTGTCTCAGTGCTCAAAGTTCTTTCACCGAAGAATAATGAATTCGTGTGGGCGTGCAAACATGGACAGAAGAGAGCCAAGTCAAAACACCACAACACCTGTGAGGCGTCTTGACTATTCTATCTATTATGCCCGTGTTGGCAAGCGGAGTCTTTTCAGCATGTATATTTTCAACTAACTGGAAACAGTATACAGACCCATCTCTCTTGTGCCAACGCCAACGGGCCCTCACTGTTTGACGCAAAGCCCCCAGAAAAGCAGGAGCTCAAGACTTCCAGTCCGGAAGCCGCCGCCCGACTTAACACCTCTGAAGAACGCAGTATACGAACCGGCTTTTTTTATAGCTTCCGAGGAAGTGTCGCCTTAGTTCGCACCGCGGCGGCGCCACTAGCGTCGTCAGTGGCGGACCTTTGTTCGACTAGCGAGGAGACAGAAGCGCCTTGTTGAGAATTTCGCACGCTTCGTGGTCTACAATGCGGGACCACTCTTTTTTTTTTTCTTTTCCTTTTTTCAGCGGCTTAGCACTTGCGGCCACCAACGAAGGCGTTTTCTTGGTGCAACAGCAAGACGGCCGTTCCGCTTTGCGCACGGATACGCAGCGCCGCTGCAAAAGTCCGCTGGCTTGCTGGTGACGGCGCATTAACCTCCGAGCGAATGGGAAAGGAGCAGCGAGTCGGATTGGATGCGAGAGCGAGATCCCTTGAGACAGCTAACGTACCAGACCGTGGAGCATGGGTGTTGAAGAAGTAAATAGCATCCCAGAAGCGCTTACGATGGTGCTGTATTTGGCATGACGCACAGTGGCGTAACTAGGAGGATGGGTTGGTGAACCCCTCCCTCCCCCCAGATTCTTTCAGTTTTGTATGTTATATGTACGCGGACGCATATAAACGTGCTTGAGAGAGTGTAAGACACTCCCTTCACTCCGGCCGCCTTGAATAAGATTTGAGACTAAGCTCCCAATGACACGTATACGCGATTATGAGAAGTGATATGGCGCAGGCAGGGACGTTATATGCAGATCAAGCCGGCTTGGTTAAGCCTACACTCGGATAGGGACTATAAATCATCGCAATCTTGATTACGCCCATTGTGGAGCCTGAAAGCACCTTTTGTGTTACTCGAATTAACCCGGTGCTTCGCTTACTGCGGATCCATTATGAACCCAAACTTCTTAATCGCGACTGTCCGACCCCTACCTTCTGTACAAATGTCCAGCCTATGACGACGAGCGATGAAAGATCACAGGATGGCACACAGCACATTCAGAACAAGAAATTTATGCAGGAAGCACTCAAACACCTAAGCGGATGTGGAAGAACCGAAACATGATAATTCAATACAGAAAAATTGCGAGGACCGAGTAACACGGGGACAAAAAGAAATAGCGCGAACCCAGGCGGCGGGGAGGCGTCCGAAACGACGATCTCACCTGCGGCGCGCGCCGACGACGAGGTGATTTAGGTGATCCAGGGGGGGCCGAGGTGTTCGCACCCGACAAAAATAAAAACGAAAAAGTGAGAAATGGAAGAAAGTCTTTCCCAAGTGCCGCTGCAGTTCGTGTGCATATACGCTAGACATCCCCGCAGGAGATGACATATGTACCAGCGGCGTCCTGAAGAAGCCGGAAACTGAATTTTAAATAGAAATGTCCCCCCTTCCTACATTCCGCGCCTTGTTTATTGCGTGCGGCGCGTCATACTTTTGCGTCGTCTGTATTTCTTTTGTTTTTTGCATTGCGATTCATGCGCCATATTTAGTGGTCGCTTTAATATCGTCTGCATCTGTCGCAGACGATACAGCTTTGCATCGTCTGCACCACATAGTTTATCGTAAGAAACTCGATGACCTGGCATGCTATTTAGAACACAGTCGAGTGAGCGTCGGCGGGAGTTTGTCTTGGGGGTTTCAAACCCGTGTCGCATCAAGGCTGTTGGAGGGAGAGAGCGCTGGTGTAGATTAGGTGTTTGCCAGCGCGGGTGTAGCTTGAGAGGGGCAAGCGCTTCTTTCGCACCCCCCTCCCCTCTGTGCGACGCCCACGGTGCCACCATGTTGTCAAATTTCGTAGTGGCGGTACTGTACCAACCAGAGAAGCCCTGGAGTCCTTCTGGGCCAATGAGAGTTGACAAGATGGAGAATTAGACAACATGGCGGAATTCCAGAACATCATTCCTGAACTCTGCCACTATTAAAACTTCTGAAGAAACAAACCCATAGTTTCCGCAAGTTTCTATAAGGGGGATCGACTCAGGTTCTGCTGATAGTGCACACCATCCCGCCAGTGGGGTGACTTCGAACTTACGACGGAGCTGAAAGAAACATGGCACCCACAATGGCCTCGCAAAGCGTAGAACGCCGCTGCAATGCATAGACGTCCTCAACATGACGTCATGCACACTCACCGGATGAGCTCTGCGTGCTGTTACCGGCCTGTGATTGGCCAGCCCGGTGATGCCTGAGCACGTGCGCGCCACGCTGGTCCTGGTCCTCGCCGCCACTGACGGGCTCGATGGTGAACATGCCCCTCGAAGGTGAGTAGATGTAGCCAGTCTGCGAGAGAGAGGAGGGTACGGGGCTATACAGACTAACCGCAGGGAGGATACATACATGCTCACAGCGTTGTAAACATTGCATACATACATGTCAGTACGTGAGGTAACCATCGAGCACGAACTAAGCGAATTGTCTTATTATAGACAGACATCAGCAAATACACTCACTCAAATATTTTTGACGCTGCCTGCATCAGCGTATAGAGATTATTATTATTATTATTATTATTATTATTATTATTATTATTATTATTATTATTATTATTATTAGCAACTGGCAACACTGGTGAAGCAGATGATCGGCTTTATTTATTCATTTTACTTATTTTATTTACAAGTATACCTCAAGAGCATCATAGAGGCATCGAGCACAAGCACCTAGTACAAAAGTGGCATCAAAAACAAAAGCAAGGAACGTGTATTGTCTCCGTTACTTGTACCAAGAGTCCGCAACAGCGGAAAAACAAAAGTGCAAGAAAGAACAAAATAGGGCAACACAAAGGACCAGCGGTGAGTGCAGCATAACATGTGTAGATACAAAGCTAGCGATATCTGACGTTAGATAGTCGTTAAAACTCTTACGCTAACGACTTGAGTTAAAGGTGCACAGCGAGCACATCGTGGCTCAAAAGCAAACAAACAAGTATGCAAGATCCCAACAGATTTTTCTTGGTATGCCGCGTATACGCGTGCTTCGCCAATCCTGCACATTCTGTTTAACAGCGTGCTTAAATCGTAAAGCACCACAATCGAGGTATCACAACAAAACTGCAGAACAAAGAGCAATTGCAGTGGAAAGACTAGTGGACGCACTTCAAAATATGCATGCCTTGCAAACGTATACATATATCGCGAGCGGTTATGAAGAGAGCCATGAGGAATCGGACTGTTCTTCCATATATGTATACCCCTTCCAACCAGTTGCACTGAGCGGTCTCAGAATCAAAAGCGTTACCGTCGCATAATTCCAAGGAAAGTTCTTGCGTGGTTATCGTAAAGCTTTTTTTGGATTCAGACAGCACAACTCAGTGGACGCGGCGCGGGGACTGCACTTAGAGCTCGGGCTTGGGACGACGTTCTGAGCGTAGCCGCCAGGACTATGCCTCACTCAGCACATTTCTTGCACATCAAAAGGTGCGCGCTTAGTTTCGAACCGCGCAAAGGAGACGCGGGAAAGAAGCCGCACAACGTCACAGTCCTTCAAAGCGAACTGGCGCAATGCGCTTCAAGCGAAGAGGATGAAACGTCGAAAAAAGAAAGCGGCTAGAATAGATTGAGGGTCTTCCCAGTTTTTCCTCCGCCTATCTCGCGAAGCGGAGGAATCCTTTCGGTGCATGCCGCTGCCTTGGTTATACACACGTATGCAGTGTCACGGGAATCAAAGAAAAGCAGTGTATGCGAGAACGCGGGACGGGGCCCAGAAGCACTCCCGTTTTGCCGCACTGCAGTCCGCGATGCTATCTATAGTGTAGTATAAGCGGCACTTTCTCGGCGAAGACGACATATCACGCGGGTAGTGCGACCGATGCCTCCAGCTGATACGGGCTTGCCCCCGCAATGCACCGCCGGAAGACCTGCCTCCGCCCCCCGCGCCCTCCTTCTCCAAACGCGGGGCTATATCCGTGTAGGAAGAGCCTTATATAAATATATACGCTGCCTAATGTGCGAGCGGGCCGTTTATATCTCACGCTCGGTGCGCATTGTCGGATGACTTTGCGGAGCAAGGATTCGCAGAGTCAGGGCTGCCCCTCTCCTCCTCTCCTCCTCCTCCCACCGCTCTTGCGTGAAGGGCGAGACGGTGCGCTCAGTATATTGGGGGGCTGCCGCGCGGGTGCTGAGGGGTAGGGTAGGTTTTATTTCGAATGCGATCGTCCCTGCTGCTGCGGCGGCAGGAAACACGTGCCAAATATATCGTACACCACGCGCAATGCCCGCCACCCACGACCCCTCATAAAACCGGGCGGGCTTCGTTTATTTCGTCCCTTAACACATTAAGGCGACCGCCTCACGTGCCCAATCAGGCAAAAAGTCCGGCGTGATCACAGGAAGGAACGGAAAGATGAAAGTTCAAATTGTCGTGGCCCAAACGCACGAGCTGCGCATCCAATTCGTCTCGAAGTCATAATTATTATGTCACGGTAACCTCACAGGCTATGGAACCCTGTTTCAACGCGATTCCGTCATGGAGTGACGACGCCGTCACGTGATAATGACGTCGCAATCGTGTTGACGCTGACGCCAACGGGAACATTTAGCATTTGATGAAGCACCTGAGCCTTCAGTCTTAACTATGGTCAAATACGTATATTGGAGACGGATTGAAAGCTGAGCTCGTTGGTACTTGACCGTTTCTGCTACAGTGACGCGGACAAAAGAAACAAAGAAACCTATGCACCCTTTTTTTTTCATCCGCGTTCTCATTTTTTTTCTGTTTTATGAACGTTCAAAGGCACATATATCATCCAATAACAGCCACGTGACTGGTCAAAGACCTGTCCATATGTTTCACCAGCGGGCACGATACGGCACACAGAGCTCCTCGAGAGTTACGACGGGCCATATTGAAGAAATCACTGACAAAACGCTTCCTCCGTCAAACTCCCATGCGCGTATAGCCGTGCAGGTCAAACGATACAACGAGGCAGCCGGCGGATAAAAGCAAATCTATAGGAGGGATGGCTTGCATTTTTTTATATTGGCAGCGTAAACAAACTATTCACCCCCATTTTACCCCATGGCTCAACGTGACCTTCGGCAATAGAACATAATGCTATTACGCAGAGAAATCGAAAGGAAAACACTAAAAGAAAGGGATGTTAGACCTCACCAGCGTCTCTTTTTACCAGCCCCTCCTTTCCAGTTCATAGGCCAGCGACCAGATGGCGCCACGGTAGAGACGCTCGAGGCGCCACATACTCAGTGCTGCTTTTAGGGTAAACAAATGGGGAGGGGGGGCAAACGTCGTTTCATTTACGAGCGCGTTTGACCTAGAGACTTACCGACCGATAGACGCGAGGAAAGACGAAAGATTGAGACAAACAGATAAAACCTCTCGACATTAATGCGATGGATTGAAGGAGTCACTCTCTCTGCAGACGGAGCGATTTGGGCGATAAGAAGTCCCGTTAACGAGCAAAAAGTCGTATAAATACCGTAATGCACGTGGTACGGGAGGCACGGCAAGGAGTTTTAAACTGACACTGACACACACACACACAAACACACATACACAGAGAAACAGGGGGAGGGGGGTAAGAGAGACCCAGAAGAAAAAAAAGACAATAAAGTACAGAAGCTAGCTGCAGCCAGTAAAATGAAAATTAATGTTCCCAGCCGAGGGGATGAAACGAAGCAGTGACGAAAGTTGCGTCATCGCCTGCCGAGTCCATCGCAGACTATGGAGGCTTCCTACTGGCCCGGTTTTCTCTTACGCTTTTATATTTTACGACCGTTATAAACGAGCGTGGATCTCATTAACTGTGCGCCAACTTCTTGAGGAGCCAGCCTTATGTATGTGCGTTTATGCTGTATATATGGCTGCACTCTTCAGGGATAGCAAAGTGGCGCCACCTAGCTAGCGGCCCTCGAGCTGCTTGGTTAAAAATCCCAGGCAGCCAGCTCGCCCGCTGATTGAGATCGACGCTCCCCATCTTCCACGCTGGCTGCTTTCATTTTCTTTTGTTTTGGTATATATTCATGTCGTTAAACTTTCATTGAAAGACTAAGCTGTGTTTACCTTTTATTATTCCAACCGTAGAAATAGAGTACAGCAGTACGCGATAGTGCTCTCATTGGCGGTACAGCTATAGGTCTTTCTGAAACCAAAAATAAAACAAAAAAAAACCGAAGAGCGAAGCGACAAAGCTGTCTAGTGATCCAGTTTAGGTCTCGATTAATTGATTGAATAACTTTGAGTACAGTTCACATTCAAATTTCATTTCAACATTAAACTAGACATTTCGAAAGTCACAACAGTAATGCTGTGGGGCGAAAACAAAAACCGTTAAGGCTTGACAGAGTCTTTCGAACCTTTAGACAACATAGCAACAGCAACAGTCATTACACAATATAAAAACAAACATTACGTACAAAAGGAACAGTACGAATATCTTCCCGGAGGCAAATATTTCATGTTCGTTAACTATTCATTTTATTGAAGACACTCCTGAAGTTGTGTCAATATGCAGCTGCCATACTACAATAGAACCTAGGAGAAAGAAAGAAAGAAGGAAAGAAAGAAAGAAAGAAAGAAAGAAAGAAAGAAAGGAAGAAAGAAAGAAAGAAAGAAATGGGATTTTACTTCCCAAAACCACGATCCGATAATGAGGAAGGCCGTAGTATATAGACGCACCTCCTGGTGTTCTTTAACTCGCACAAACCTCACACACAACACGGGCCTCAAACATTTCACCTCATTCGAAACATGACCGCAGCGATCAGAATCTACAACCTTTGTGGAGCTGCAGTGCTCGTCTGCTAAGCCTGAAGACGTGGGTGCTGTCTGGGTAACGCATCGGCGCGAAATTCAGCATGTCGCATTTCGCGCTGGATGCCGTCATGCCGCGCCGGTCGCGCATGGCGTCAGACTATAGAATGGTAACGTAGCGTCGCTGTGCCCTGTGTGCGCGCGCGTCAGCGTTACGTCGTAGCCCTTCATGATGCGCTCACGGCCGTTTCGCTAGCTACGCATGTACCAAATTTGGTGTTACGGGACGTGAATGGATGACGAAGTAGCTCTACATATACTAAATTTGGTAACACCTGACGGGAATAGATGACGAAGGTAAACGACTTATCCAAACATGACAATCATGAGAGAGAAGTCATTTACGGCGTAATTTACCTCCACCTCATAACGTCGTGCTGATTTTAAAGTGACATATCAACTTTCCTCATTCGTGCTTCGCATATCATCGATCTCAATGTACGTGGGATGTGCCAATTTTTTTTTTGCAAATATTTATATTTGCGCTTGCTTGCTTGCGCGTGTGCGAGTGT